ATCTCCATCAAAGAAGGGATCAAAGATTTAATTTCATAAAATGCCATTGATTGCCACAAACACATTCACTGGAGCCACTGAAGCAACACACAAAATGGAGTGTTAATTTGAGTAGCAATAATAAAACAGATTTCTGTCAACATAAGGAGTAGCCTAAATGTACTTTCCCCCTGTAATAATGCTGCTGCAATCCCTCCCCAAGCTACAACAATGCACTGTTAACTTTTTCCAGCTAAAGAGGTGCAACACAGTGTAATAAAGTTTTCCCAAAGCTTCAGAACATCTGGAAGAGACTCATTTACTTGCTGTTGCAGAAAACTCTGAACACAACTTATTTATTTATTTATTTATTTGCTATACTTGTATACCGCCGTTTCTCAGCCTAGCCGGCGACTCAACGCGGTTTACAACAACTTATAACAAACAACAGTATACAGTTTAAAAGCATAAAAACATAATCCACAATACATATATCAATAAACAATCCAATTCATCTCTTGACTAAAATCGTGATCCAGTTTCGTCGTCCAAATTGCCAGTCCTTCAATCATTACACTTATTGCACTGAGTTAACCGAACGCCTGCTCGAACATCCACGTTTTTAGTCTTTTCCTGAATACCATCAATGAGGGAGCTGATCTTACCTCCATGGGAAGGGCGTTCCATAGCCGCGGGGCCACCACAGAAAAGGCCCTGTCTCTCGTCCCCGCCAGCCGCACCTGTGAAGCAGGTGGGATAGAGAGTAGGGCCCCCCAGAAGATCTTAGGGTCCTGGTGGGCTGATAGGCCGAGATACGTTCGGATAGGTAAGTTGGGCCAGAACCGTTTAGGGCTTTAAAGGCCAACGCCAGCACTTTGAATTGAGCCCGGTAGCAAATCGGCAGCCAGTGGAGCTGGTGCAGCAGAGGAGTTGTATGCTCCCTGCGCTCCGCTCCTGTTAGTATCATGGCTGCCGTGGACTAATTGGAGCTTCCGGGCCGTCTTCAAAGGCAACCCCACATAGAGAGCGTTGCAGTAGTCTAAACGGGATGTAACCAGAGCGTGGACTACCGTGGCCAAGTCAGACTTCCCAAGGTACGGGCGCAGTTGGCGCACGAGTTTTAACTGTGCGAATGCTCCCCTGGTCACCGCCGAAACCTGGGGTTCCAGGCTCAGCGATGAGTCCAGGATCACACCCAAACTGCGAACCTGCGTCTTCAGGGGGAGTGCGACCCCATCCAACAAAGGCTGTAACCCTATACCCTGTTCGGCCTTACGACTAACCAGGAGTACCTCTGTCTTGTCTGGATTCAATTTCAATTTGTTCGCCCTCATCCAGACCGTCACAGCGGCCAAGCACCGGTTCAGGACCTCGACAGCCTCCTTAGTAGCAGGTGGAAAGGAGTGACAGAGTTGGACATCATCTGCGTACAGATGACATCGCACTCCGAAACTCCGGATGATCTCACCCAGCGGCTTCATGTAGATGTTAAACAACATGGGAGACAGTATTGAACCCTGAGGAACCCCACAAGACAAAGGTTGTGGGGTTGAACAGGAGTCTCCCAGTAACACCTTCTGAGACCGGCCCTCAAGGAATGAGCGGAGCCACTGTAAAACAGTCCCTCCAAGACCCATTCCCGTGAGGCGTCCCAGAAGGATACCGTGGTCGACGGTATCGAAGGCCGCTGAGAGGTCCAGCAGCACCAACAGGGACACACTCCCCCTGTCGAGCTCCCGGCGCAGATCATCCACTAAGGCGACCAAGGCTGTCTCGGTACCATGCCCCGGTCTAAAGCCAGACTGTGCCGGGTCCAGATAATCCGTGTCTACCAAGAATGCCTGGAGTTGTGAGGCCATCACGTTCCAAGACTTTGCCCAAAAAGGGGAGATTGGAAACAGGCCGATAGTTGACGAAGTGGGGTCCAGTGATGGTTTCTTCAACAGCGGTTTTATAACAGCCTCTTTTAGGCTGGCTGGAATCCTGCCCTCCAGTAAGGAGGCATTAACCACCATCTTCACCCACCCTGCCAAACCCCCTTCTGGCTTCCTTTATCAGCCAGGATGGGCAGGGGTCTAGATGCATGTGGTAGCTCTCGTCTCTCCTAGGATCTTGTCCACATCCTCAAGTTGCACCAATTGAAATGAATCCATTAAAACCGGACAAGTAGATGCTTGTGTTACATCCTCAGAGACTGCCGTTAATATGGTATCCAGTCCAGAGCGGATCAAAGCGACTTTGTCTGCGAAGAACTGAGCAAAAGCTTCACAGCGAGCTGCCGAGTCATCAGGGCCCGCCTAGAATGGCGGGGTTTAAAAGGCCTCTGACAATCCGGAACAACTCAGCCGGACGGTTCTTTGCAGACGCAATAGTGGCCGCAAGGAAAGTTTTCTTTGCGGCTTTTATTGCCGCGGCATATGCCCTTAAAAAGGACACAAACCGTGTTCGATTTGGCTCGCTCAGATCCGAACGCCACACGCTCTCTAGTTCCCTCTTCCTTTGCTTCATCGCCAGCTCCTCCGTAAACCAAGGAGCTGGTTTAGCTCGGCTACTTGAGAGGGGACGTTCTGGAGCGATCGTGTCTATTGCCCTGGTCATCTCCCCATTCCAGAGAGCGACCAGGGCATCGACAGGATCACCAACCGAGGTGGCGGGAAAATCCCCAAGAGCCATCAGGAATCCATCCGGATCCATAAGCCTCCTGGGGCGGACCAATTTAATGGGTCCTCCACCTCTGCGGAGGTTAGGGGGGCGCAGTGAGTCTAAAGCTGACCAGGTGGTGGTCGGTCCATGGCAACGGAGAGATGGATAACTCCTCAACACCGCCACCTTCCTCCCATCCCTGGCAGAAAACCAAGTCCACTGTGTGTCCAGCACTGTGGGTGGGGCCAGATACCTGTTGGGACAGCCCCATGGTTGCCATGGCAGACATGAAGTCCTGAGCCGCTCCCGATAAGGCGGTCTCGGCGTGGACATTGAAGTCCCCCAGCACAAGCAGCCGCTGGGACTCCAATGCCAGGTCCGAGACCACCCCCGCTAGCTCAGTCAGGGAGACTGTAGTGCAGCGAGGTGGACGGTACACTAACAGAATCCCTAATCTGTCCCGGTCACCCACCCTCAGGTGGACGCATTCAAAATTTGTTGACTGCGGGATGGGGGCCCTGGTCAGAAGAACGAAATCTCTATAGACTACTGCGACTCCGCCTCCCCACCCTCCGGATCTCGGTTGGTGCTGCACAGAGAACCCCGGTGGACAAAGCTGGGTCAAATTTACACCTCCCGCTTCGTCCAGCCAGGTCTCTGTGATGCACGCCAGATCTGCCTGTTCATCCAGGATTAAATCCTGGATGAAGGTTGTTTTACCATTGACAGACCTGGCGTTCAACAGCACCACTTTCAATTCCCCTTCCACTTCCGCTCTCGCACTCCCTGGAAACCCACCTAAGGCTGTCCGTCCCCTTTTCGCACTGGGGGACCCCCCTAGTGTGTTTCTCGTGACCACTGCTTACACTCCGGTTGCTTTTTGACCTCTTTGTCATCTTTCACGTTGTCGCTCGTTGAATGCATGACTCTAGAATCCTGGCCTATAGCCGGCCCACCCGTAGTGCCAAATACTCTGAACTAAGTGAAACGACTGACAATTCAACCTGTAGTTTCAGTTCATCAATTAGAAGCAACCAGTTTGAACTGGATGAATCATGGATTTTTCTATTATGCTCAATGTGTGCAGAACAGTACTTATTATACCATTCAGTAACACTTTTGCAAAGACATTATTAATAGGTTTTAACATAATTTCACTGGGTGAACAGTCAAATCCATCTTCCCTAATTACATAGAACAGATTCTTGTCCCAGAGGCAAAAAGAGAAAGAGAGGGAGAAAGAAAAAAGAAAAAAAAGAAACTTGTGGTTGAAAATTTCTAGGAAGGAGCATTTGCAAATTTAGGGAGACACACTGTAATACTAAGAGATAGTCATCAGGAATCTTGCACTTGCATCCCACATTACAGGATAAGGCACGGAGCAAGAGGCTAAACAGGATGCCCTCCAAGGTACCTCCCAGTTCTGGTTCTAAGAGAAATATTCTGAAAGGTGCTATTTTAGCCATAGTAAAGGCTTCCCCTTGACATTAAGTCTAGTCGTGTCCGACTCGGGGGGTGTGTGTGTGTGTGTGTGTGTGTGTGCTCATCTTAATTTCTAAGCTGAAGAGCCAGCATTCTCCGTAGACACCTCCTAGGTCATGACTGCATGGAGAGCTGTTACCTTCCCACCAGGGCGGTACCTATTGATTTACTCACACTTGCATGTTTTCAAACTGCTAGGCTGGCAGAAGCTAGGGCTAACAGCAGGAGCTCACCCCAACTTGTGGATTCTAACCACCAACCTTCCAATCAGCAAATTCAGCAGCTCCGTGGTTTAGCCTGCTGCACCACCGCAGCCCCTATTTCATCCATAACATCCACAAATAGAGGTGGGAAAGGTCTCAATCGCAGACACCACAGTTCCAAATGGAATGTCACAACTTACAATGCAGCACCATTTCAAGAATGCCTACATACTGGAGAGTGTTCTCTTTGGGAAGAACTCAAGCACCATTGAAAGTGTCAGATTAAACAACGGCAAATATTTGTTATTTGTTCATATATTTGGAGTGGGTTTTTTATCGAGAGCATTCTCATTGAAGATCTCTCTCTGCTGTTCTGTCCTTAAATGTTTCACATATTCAACTATCTAGTTCACAAAAGCTTTCAATAATTTTGCATTGGGAGTAATTTTCCAGTAAAATCAAGGTCTGTTGCAGATATAGCAGTCCTTCCAACTGATGTTTGCATGTGTATACATGTATGTGTGTGTACTTCCTCTTAACTGCCTTGTTTTCAATCTTCCCCTCAATAGCATATGACAGAAATGAGGTCAAATTCCATGGGTGGCACTCCAAAAGGTGGATTAGCTCCCACTTTGCCAACTTCTACATATAACACTTCTCTTTACTGTAGATGCCTTGCTATGAAGCCCTTACCTGTTGAAGCAGCGGGTTCGTCTGGGGTTCTGCCATAGTGTGCCATGAGCTTAAGTTTGGTTTCCTGCTTTCTGTGTTTCTTGCCTACGTAGTGTTGTTTTGCCATCAGAGGATTATTGAATGTGGCATGACAGAGACTGCAGAATTTGTCTGGGTCAGAAGTGTCCTGGTTTTCTTCAGGAGGAGAGCACACAGTCGGGGGAGGAAAATTAGTTGGCTGTCTTTGAGCTGGTGCAGATGCTGAAAGATTAATCCAAAAGAAGATGCAAAAACTTAAAGGCAAAGAAATCAGAAGAGTTGTTCATATAGTTTCACACTACCAGAATGAGCCAAACCTATTAATAGGGAAGAATTCTATACTCTCTCATTGAGAGTTCAATATAACAGTCTCATCTTGCATTTGTACAAAGGATACTGAAGCACGCTGGGCTATTATGTCAATGGCTTTTCAAGTGCAAACATCATGGGACAATTCGTTGGCACCTTTCTGATCATACCTTCTGCTTTGAGAGGCTGTTGCTTCAACTTCAGAATCTTGGCATGAGTCTTGCCTAGGTAGTGGGAGTTGGCCACAACAGGAGAAGAAAATGTCATGTTGCAGATGGGACAGCACTTGTTTCTGTCTTCTCCATTGTTGCTTTCCTATTGGCAAGAAAGATTATTGAAATAGATTGGCTATGAAGACTCAGAGGAAAAATGACAGTTCTCTGATAAGCATAGAATTACCAGTGTTTATCTGATTAAATATTTAAGAGTGAAGTCCTGTGTGCAAACCAATTTAGGATGGAAAGGTTCTTCATAAATAACTTCTAAAAGTAAAAGTTATCGTCTTCCAATCAGTTTCTGTGCTTTGCTGTCGGTGTACAAGTAGCCATTTGATTTTCTGGGTAAATCTGAAATGTATGTTTGTTCTAGAAGAATAAGGAATCCCTGATCATAAAGATACTCTTTGCTCCATAATCCAAGAAATGCTACACTGAATGGATTTGACAGCCTTCCCAGTGCATTAATTTGAGCAGCTTTTTTTCTATGACTTCTATCATTACTGTCATTACCTGCTTTGTATCCAACTTTAGTCTCTTACTCTGAGTGAATTCCTCATCACACTGTTTAGTCATGTATCGCCGAACTTTGTTTGCATGTTTCTTGCTCTGAAGGAACAAAAAACAGAAGGGCAAGATAAGCGCACCAGGTATCAAATACATAAAGCAACAGCTTCAGCCTATAGCTTGACGCATACCTGATAATGAGCAAGCTTCTGGGACTCAGAGATGAGCACTGCACTACATACTCTGCACTGAGCATCCGTAAAGATGTGGCTGTTCTCTCTGATCAGACGGTCCACTGCAAAAAGCAAGTACACCAATCTTAAAAAACAAATGGGAAGGCTTGTCAAGGACATAACTATCCTCAGGGGCTATGCCAGAATCAGCTGCTAACTGTCTTCACCAGCTTCAAATTCTGGTCATGGGAAATGTGTGAAATGAGTTCTGTAATGACTTCTAATTCATTCTAATTCCCCAGTCAGGAAAAAAATAATTAAATACTTGTGCGAGTCAAGAAAGGAAAATTACATGCAACCATTTAATTCTCATCACTCAGGGAAAATGCACATAATTAATGGAGTAGGAAAAGATATCACTCAGTAGTAACACAGCAAAATAATGATACGTCTAATGTTTCCTGGTTGTACTACAGGGCAAATTTTCTCTTGCAGCTGAGATGTACAACTGAATAATTAAGAATTCCATTGCTAAATAAAGGACAAGTTTGTTATTATTATGTTTGTTTATATCCCACTTTTTCTTTCTACACAGAGACTCAAAGCATCTTACATTAAAAACATTTAATACGATTTAAAGTCTACAAATATACAAACATTACAACAGAATGAAATACCAATGATATTAAAAATTAAGAGTTAAAATCCATAAAAACACATTAAGAACTAAAAATCACAGCACCTCCTAACTTGACATTTAAAAACCTTATTCTTTAAAAGCCTGCCTGAATAAAAAGGTTTCAGCTTGCCACTGAAAGGACAGCAGGGAGGGGGTCTAAAACATGCAGGGGCAGGAAAAAAAGTTATTTCATGTTAGGAATCTGCTGTAAAGTTTAAAAAAAAATCATACTCTTCATTTAATAATCTACCTTGCAAATAATGCTATTAAAGACAACACAAGAGAAAGCACAATATTTCTTCCTGACATTGATCTATGTTCATATTAAATGCAATGCCAACGATTACATTACTGTTCAACTAATGGAAATGTTTCAGCAAGAGAGACACAGAGTCAGATACTGTCTGTATACCTAGTGTCTCATACAGTATCAATAAGAGAACGGTTCCTTTGGCCAGCAGCTCAATTGGAATTTATGTATATCTTAGATTAATGATCTCAAAAGGAAAGAGCAGCTGTTTGCACATTGATTTAAGAAGCAGACTGGAAAACTACATGTGTGTGGGCTCCAATTATACTCAGCTATGACGGATAAGCAACTGTCTTCAAAAGACACTCCATCCATTGATTTTTACAAAATCCAGCAAATCACTATATTGATATGACAAACTGCACTTCAAATATGCTGTCATTAACCTCATCAAAATGAAATTCATTTGAATTATGTCTGTTTACTTCATTAAAGTCATAGTATAATGTAAGATACACTCTCAACCCTGTTGCAACTTAAAATCAACAGATTTATTGTGCCCTATTTTTCACAGATCAAAGTCACCTGTTGGGAGATGAAAAGAAAAAACACTGAACAAAACATGACATTCACAAGGTTATTTGTTACACCATCTGCAACATTTCTATGCAAAGCTTTGATCGATGCATACACAACATCTGAATAATCCTGTTGCCATCAAGCGAATGAGCCATGAGGACACAATCAATGTTACCTCATGCAGAAATTTTGTATGAGTGAACCGAAAAGTAGAGATAATGCCTCCGTTTGCGATAGTCTCTGAGTCTATGTATCTGGAAGTAGCAACAGAAGGTGGGACTCTTTTTTTTTTTTTTGCAATAGGGCTGTAGGTCAGAAAGGTCAGAAAAGAAGGAAGATATATTGCTGTTTCTGAAGTTATTTCTGAGGCTTGGAAGTTTCCCTGTCCTTTTCCTACAATGAGACAGGAGGTCTCAATGATTCCAAAGAGTTTCAAAAAAGCTTACCAAATCTGTCTATTGTAGCATTATAAGAAGGACATTCTAACCAGTCCAAAAGCTGATGGTTAGAAATGCAGTTTAGAGCACTTCTGGGCCTTAGCGCAATGTTTCACTCATCAGCCTCCCACTCTCTCTTTGAGGAAGGTCAGGCTTTGTGGCAAGCACAACAAATCAAAGAACGTATGGCTCTGGAGCACAAAAACACTATCTGAAGACTGTTCATTGTTTTATATTCTGGCACTCTAAATAAAGAGACAATGTTATTATGGTGGTAGATATGGAAACTCTTAATCAGTGTCCATTATTTAAAAAGCTATGAATAACTCTTAGAGTATGAGTTCATTCTTGAGAAGCAAACTCAAAAAGAATTGCAACTGACAGGTATAGGAAAAATCTAGCTGTAGTGTGTGCACCCTTGCAGGCCTGTGATGTCTTCACAGGGGGCTGCAAAAGAAAGAAAGAGAACTTGGTGCCTAGGAAATGAAAGGTTGCTTACCTGTAACCATAGTTTCCTKAGTAGTCATCTGTGAATTCGCACATTATGGTATTCCTGCGCCTGCGCAGGCTAGCTTTGGACCCTTCTAGAAAATCAAAAGCATTGTATCCCCCTCCTGCCCCCCCCCCCCGGCTCGAGTACATAAGACCCCTGGGAGGGGCCAGCCACCAGTCCTCTTCTGCCGCGAAGCCAGAAGGTGTGGCATGACACTCGAGGGGAGGAAGGGAGGGTATGTGCGAATTCACAGGTGACTACTCAGGAAACTACGGTTACAGGTAACCAACCTTTCATTTCCTGTCGTAGTCAACTGTGAATCGCACATTATGGTAGACTAGCAAGCTCCCATCATGGCTGGTGGGGTCATGCCACCACCAAAAACGGAACTGCTCTACCAAAATCAGCCTCTCTCCTGGACACACTATCTAGTTTGTAATGTGAGACAAAAGTGCTAGGAGAGGCCCAAATAGCTGCTCTACAAATCGCCTCTAAAGGGACACCCTTCATGAACGCTGTAGAAGCAGCTACAGCTCTTGTCGAATGACCTCTGACTTGCTGGGGCAAGTCTTTCCCTGCCAACAGGTACAGATTGCGGAGACAATCCATACCGAGAACCGTTGTGAAGAAACTGGAAAACCCCTAGTGTACCTGCGATATCTCAATGTAAAGGGTAGTTTCACCCGGTGTCAAGCTGATCCTGAGATTAGAAGCATCAAAGACGCTTCTTTGAGGCGCCTTGAGGATTTGGTTTGCCCTGATATGGCTGATATCTGGGCTTGGGGGGGGGGGTATGTATTTCTTCTGTTACTCTGATATCTAGGGGACGAAGAGCCCCTCCCTCGAAAGGGCCCCAAGTAGGAATTGTTAAAATTGTTACGATAGGAGTTGGGCGCAGTTTGCCATCTAGCTCAATTCTGGTAATAAGACTGTCAGATGGGTGGATGCAAGATATCTGGATGTAACTATAAGTGCAGAATTCTGCCAATTAAAGAAAACCTCTTGAGACAATTTTTTTAAAAAGTGAGGAATTGAGATGGAGAAAAAAGATATGTGGCAGCACCTTTAGACCTTTAATATAACGTGAATTTTTGTGGCTATAAACCCACTTTAGATGCAGCACTCAACACCTTTTTGTAATGCTGCAAAAGACTAATGCTGTCATTAAAAAAAAACTACCACTGCAGTGACAAGTTTCTCTTTAAATTTCCTCCTGTTGGCTATGCCAGAAAAACCACATAGTCAAGAAATATGTAGCTTGGCATTTTATAATATACTTAATTGTTTTATGGCACTTGTCACAAAAGATTGTTTTTAATTGGAAACTTCATTAAAAGATGGGAAAGAGATATGACCTGATCATTTGCTTTGCTGCTACACTGCTATGATTTGTTTAGAAAGCTCAGAAGTGGTCATGGTCGCTATTTGAATTCAAAGCTGCATTAAAAATGCATGATAACTGATAAGGCCTGGAATTAAGGGGAAAATAATAGAATTAAGGGGAAATTAACAGAAGTGAAAAAAATCATTGGTTTTTTAGTCCCCCTGCAGGGGTGAGAAAGGTAGGGTATAAAAGAAGCAATTAAATAAAATTGGTTCAAATTTTAAGTCAGCAACATCCAATAAGGACTGATAAAAGAGCTTGGTGTTATCAGAAATAAATGCCTTTTGTGTATATTTCACTTGAAGAAAACTATGTGTTGAGTTGCTGGAGCTGGTGGTTATCCCTTTTCAAAAACAAATATGATACTTTCAGTTGCTTTAGATGTGGGCCTACCTAGGGCCTTTACCCAAAATTGAGTTGTGGGTAATTTCACTTCAAATACTTATACTTTTCCTTGTTTCGCAAGAACTTGAAGACTTGGTGGTTTCATCAGGTCTTTGAGAATGACTAGTTACTAGCCCTCAGTCTCCAGACCTTAGCTAGATTTCGGTGTGCTCTTCATCCTCTCACCAACCCTGTCATTCTTGGAGTATTCGTTCTGCCCAGTCCCTCTCACAGTCCATTAATAGGTCCTGAAAATGTAGTCCCAGGCTCCACTATGGTCACTGCTAGGATCAACTTTTTGCTTCTCCATCTCCCCAGCCCTATATTGTTCTGCACTTCCCAGGCCCAGCCCCCTTAGATAGTTTAGGCCCACTTGACTATCCTGGCTCTTAGCAACTCATTCCAGATTATAGAATAGTGTTAAAACTTGGTTTTTAACTGTATTTGATTTGTGTTAACAATTTTGTGGTTTTTTTAAAAAATACTCTGTATGTTTCTTCTGTGACATTGCATGTGTGGAAACTGCCCTGAGTACCCTAGGGATGATAGAGTAGTATATAAAGTTGTTATTATTATTATTGTTGTTGTTGTTATTATTATACTTACATCTTTTTCTGTGTTAAGCAACTTTCTTTTCTAAAGTTCTGATTACCCGCTTATAGTGCAAATTGTTTCCGCATTAGTCTTTCTCAATACTATTTTGATGTCTTTGGTTTTTCTCATACTCTGTGGCTTATTTTGAACATCTGCAAACATTTTACTGGGTAATCTTTTAAAACACTTTTTGGACTTTTTTCTAAAAATGTTGCAGATGTGTGAAGTCTACACTAGAATGATGGACATGCATTATTTATTTGGGCCTCTGACATGCCATCCAAAACAGGTCCCACACATTACCTTTAGTCGGGAACTTGCA